AAGGTTGCAGATCTCATCCTGCCCTCACAGAGGGAGCACAGGATGAAACAACTGGAGGACGTACCATAAGTTATTCAAAAAAATCACTAAACTTGTTCCGAGTGTCCCAAAATGTGTCCTCTTCATACAGGCTGTTGCCTTAAGCAGTTCTTTAATAGATTAAAGGAAAACCAATTACCTTCAATTGAAATGTCATTTGTTTTTCTTTTTAAATGTCACTTTTTGCTGCAGCAGTGGAGCAGGTTCTATACATCCTACAGATCCGCCACTTCACAGGCAGGTTATGGGGACCCCCCCGACACGATATTTGAAGGAATTTTTCATTTTTACTCTTACCCTGTAAATCATGTAAAAATCACTGTTCCTTTAAAAAAATAATTTTTTGGTTTTTTTGTTTGTTTTAAATTTCATTGATTCATGTCATTCAGGGCAGTACCCGGATCCCCATACACTTTGTATGGCCAATAAATTGCATATAAGGCTTCAAAATGGGGACATTTAATTTTCTGAGTTCTACCCCAATAGACTTACATTGAGTTCTAAGTTCGAATTAGAACTTTTTTCATGTTCGAAAGTTCGAATTAGAACCGAACACGGGGGTGTTCGGCTCAACCCTATTGGGCACCAGTTCACAAAAAGGATGTTGTGGAACTGCAGAAAGTGCAGCAAAGGGTGACTAAACTCATAAGATGCATGGAAGAGCTCAGCTATGAGGAAAGATTAGCTGACCTGAATTTGTTCTCTCTGGAGAAGAGGCGATTAAGGGGGGACATGATCACCATGTATAAATACATAAATGGTCCATATAAAGAGCTTAGTGCCAAATTATTCATTTTAAGGTCACTGCAAAGGGGGCACTCTTTGCGTCTGGAGGAAAAGAGGTTTAACCTTTGCATACGGAAAGTATTCTTCACAGTTAGAGCTGTGAAAATGTGGAATAGACTCCCCCAGGAGTTAGTTCCAGCTAGCTCAGTTAATTGTTTTAAAAAACATCTGGATGTATTCTTAAATGCACAGAATATTACTGGATATTGAGTTCTTATAGGTATATTAGGCATCAGAGATTGTTGGCCCGATTGCCTTATGGGATCAGGAAGGATTTTTTTCCCTGTTGGAGCAAATTGAACCATGCTTTATATGGGTTTTTTGCCTTCCTCTGGAGCAACAGGGGTAGTAGCTGTGTGCATAGCGTTCTGTTTAGGCTTTTCTTCTAATTTTTTTTCCTTTTCTCTCCGTTTCTCTATAGGTTGAACTTGATGGACTTGGTGTCTTTTTTCAGCCTGACTAACTATGTAACTATGTAATTTATTTATAAGGGACAATTAAAGAAAGCCCTGTATAAGCTTTCAGACCCTCTAATTCAGAGTTTACACAGGGCTGAGGACTTTCTGCTTGCCCACAAGTGACAATCACCAAGAACCACCACTGGCACACGAGAGGGAAGGAAATGGGTCACAAGCCCCTCCTTACACAGAAATATTGGATAACTTCTTCACTAATGGCAGCTAAATTAAGTGGCTAGGGAGGGATGGAAATGTGAGGATGTGCTGATAAGGAGGTGGGTATTAACGCATGTCCTGCATTGGTACGGCACAAGGTTTTTTTTTAAAGGTCTCCTTTCAGAGACAGCAGAGCTCCATTGAACTTGATCCATCTGAAAATGAAAGGATAATGCATGTGGTAATACTACCCAACATATAGCTAAGCAAAGTATGGCATGGCTGTTGGATTGAGCTCAAGGTTTCAAAACCTTAAATCCTTCAAAAACTAATGAGGGAGTAAATTGATTTTGTCCCCAAACTTAGTGAAGTGTGCCACACATAGCATAAAATAACATGATACCTTGCCACTCTCTAGATAGAATAATATTAAATTCAAAGTGTGCTTGGAAAAATGTGTTGCTTCTTTGTGTAAATATTCTGCATTTTCAGAATTGATAAAATCATATTTTAAAAGATAAGATTCTACCAAGTATAGAGTAATAGAGTATTTGCATAACCTGTACAAAGTAGAATCTGTTCCAGAATTGTTCTATATTTTTGGCTGTGACAAAAATTAAAGCATTTATATAGTACAACTAAGGTAAAAAAAAAGTTCTGTAAACTTACCTGCCACAACATAGTAGCATTTTGTGCCTTCCATCGTACAATTACTGCGGAAGAAAAAAAAGACATGCTTTAAAAGAGTACATAAAGCATAAAAAAAGAGTCCTGGTATGGATAGAAGTTGGGGAATCTTTCTCTTTGAGATTCCAAATGCCATCCTTCTGTTTTTCAGCAGACATTATGGTCATTCCAGAGACTAATATTATGAATAATGAATAATGCACACTGAAGCATCTCTGTCTAAAGCTGCCCGTACATCTTACAATTATCGTTCGAAAAACGAATGTGATTCATTTTTCGTACGATAATCAACCAGTTGATGGGAAGTACTCGATTGCAATTACTGTGGTGTTTTCGCACACCAAAAATTGCAGCATAAACACTGCACATGCGCAAGCAACAATCCGTTCTGTCGATCGACGAAATTCGGCCAGTTAATATTGCTGACGAACAATTATGGAAATCTACATTGGTCTGTGCATGATGGGCTATTTGTGCCGAAATTGAATGAGGGTGCAATGACGGTGTATAGCCACCTTAAGAGATTATCGCTAGTTGTATATAGAATCCGCAGTCCAGGCTGTGTTATATATAAACTGTGTGCTCCAGACACTATATTGGAGTGGATCATACTGTATATCAGGGGTGCCCACATTTTTTTGTGTTAAGATCTACTTTTCAAATGACGAGCTACATGAGATCTACCAACGGAAAAAAAACCTCCCTCGCTCTCTCTCTTCTAGCTGTCTCTCCTCGCTCTCCTTGCTGTCTCTCCTTGCTCTCTCTCCTAGCTGTCTCTCCTTGCTCTCTCTCCTAGCTGTCTCTCCTTGCTCTCCTGGCTGTCTCTCTTCGCTCTCTTGGCTGTCTCTACTTGCAATCTCCCTTGGCTGTCTCTCCTCTCTCTCTTTCTTGACTGTCTCTCCCGCTCTCTCTCCTGGCTCACCTTGCTGTATTTTGCAAACAGTGCAGTGCAACAGGCTGTGTAAACTAATATTCTTTGATGGAATACATAGCACTTCAACCACCAGTATCCACCAGAAAGGTGTCAGGGGCCGCCATTCACTCCCTTTGTGATCTACCAGCAAGAATTAAAGTATTTTTAAAGTATTTTTTCATTAGAAAGATTTACCCTCCCTTTCTGTCCTGCTAAGACAAAAAGAGAGCGAAAATGTTGAACAGGGACAGAGACAGCAATACAACATGCTTCTTGTAGAAGAGTAGGGAAAGGCTAAAGTTCTTATCAGCTTTTTATTTTTGTCTGTGTTCATGATGCAAATTTCCCTTCATGTCCTGTCTGGTGAAAACCTTGCTGCCAGGACGGTGAGTAAGGAAAAATCTCCTTCACTTAAACATGGCTTGACATACTTTAGGCTCCATTCACATATGGTGTTTGCTTTGTGGAAAACCACGTCACACCATGTTTTTACATACGTGCGGATTCCGCCTGTTTGCGGCTATTACTATAGCCACAAACGTGTGGAATCCACCCCTAAGATCTCGCTTGATCTATTTTGCGGGACGTGCAGTTTTGAGCGGACGCCGCAATAGTCTAAACAATGCGCATTGGAATGCATTATTTTATATGTCTATATGTTTTATATGTCTAGCGTGAATACACAAGGAAAACAACTCATTTGTGAATGGAGCCTTAGAGGTGGTCTACTATTCAGATTCGGTTTCTTATGTCCATTGTTTGCAAACACCACTAAAGAGCTTTATATGCTTGCTCTTTTACAGTTGCTTTACCACACTGGATTATCAATTCAGAACAATGTCATTATAAATGGGGGCTAATTAATGGATAATTGTGTTCACTAAGGAGTCAGAAAAAATCTAGGGTCAACACCATTCAAGTTTATATGGTATCAGGGGCAAACAATGTGCAGTCAGAAAGTAAGCCCGAAATCAGGTCCAGGGAGTTCCTAACCCAGATGTAAAATAAAATCAACAGACACATACACAATCAGGAATGAGACAACATTGGTACAGATTGGAGTCTCTCAAACCTAGATTGTGCACATCTGCAAAGAATGATCATAGAAATTTAGTGAAATGTCAGAGACTTAACTGTACTCTAATATACTCTACTCTACAATCAACAACCACTGACAGGAGAAAAAGAGAAAAAACTCTTAAGTAGACTGCACTTGTGTAAACAGTGCAGTCTATCTCAAAAGACCATCATTGTCCCATCCCCAGCCTTTACAAAATTGCGTACCTTGGATATGCCAGGAGCTGAAATTTCCTGTACCTAGCTAAGGCACGACTGAGCATGTAGTCCAGTGTATGTGCCAGAGTAAGAATGAGAAAAGAATGACAGCCTGCCACTGCATGATATGGGCATTGGTGGGCTTTTTATTTAAAGCATACACATCTTTGAAAGTTTTGATGAAAACTTAAGCTGGCCGTAATAGGAGTTCATGCCAAATACATTGGCTGTGTCCAAATATATGTGCATTGTTTTAAAGGGCATATCTGAATAGTTGTTATTAAATTAAAGTAGATATCAAGCACTAGTTTTTCATAAACTGCAACATATCAACGAAACAACCTGTGCCCTCAAGGATATAAAAACCTAAATCACACCCTGCTTGTCACCTGCTAGCTTGCCATCCAAAAACACATGGTTTGATATACAGTATAAATATGTTTTCTTCAAGGTCCCCTTCACACCTAATCAATGTGACAAACAGCTAAACACTAGGAATCCCATTCATGTCCGCATTTTGTCGCAAGCAGAAAAACATCTGTCACCAGGGGCATATCTGCCACAAGGCAAAAAAGGTGTTTGCCTTAGATGGCAGTTTTCAGGGGGTGGGAAAAATGCCACCCCCAAAACAGTTAGGCAGCCCAGCAGAGGAGGCAGCGGTGGAGGAGTCAAAAGATGCAGAGGAGTCAGCAAAGAGGCGATAGGAGGCAGAGGAGGCGGTGGCACGGAGGAGGCGGGAGAGGCAGAGGAGGCGGGGCAGCAGGAGGGGGAAAGGTGGAGCAGTAGGAGGGGGGCGGGGCGCGCCCAGGACAACATTGGATGAGGAAGGGGCGGGGGCCAGGGCACCGGCACGCCGTAGGGAGCCGGGTCACCGAAGAGCCATCGGGCTGCGGAGGAGGCCGGTTCCTGCAGCACAAGTCCAGAGGTGTAGGAAGCAGAGGACCAAGCTGCAGGTAAGAGAATCACACTGCTGCTAAAGGGACCCTGCAGAGCCCAGCATGGATTCTGCACAGCCCGTCTTTTAGTGTGGGGGGGGGGTGCTCTAGTTTCGTCTTGCCTAGGGCAGCCCCAAACCAGAATACACCACTGCCTGTCACACAAAATACTACATGAGCTACTTTGGGCCTGAATTCAGTCCCATAGACTCAATAGAAAACGCTTTAAAAACGTGTGTAGTAAGTAAGTTTTCATAAAAAGATAATTCTTGGAGTTTCGCTTTAACAGGACTTCATGGAGCTCAAATTGAGAAGCATTGATTTGTAAAGGGGCTGTTACAGCTGTGATCTCCAGCAGTTTCGTATAATATTTCTCTAGTCTATTAATGTCTCATGAAGCATCTCCTCAGTCTTCAACAGCTACTGCAGCATATCTACAGTCTTACGTCATCATGTGTCACATGTCTGCAGTCTAGGACAGCTTTCTGTAGCATTACATTACCTGAATATAATGTGTGGTGATGTCAGGGGTCACACTTGAGACCCCCCTATATTAACTGAATTGACCACAGCTGCTTTAGAGGAAAAGCTTTGAAGTACCCTTAAGGCAAGCCTTACCATAAACAGACCATCAATTCATGTTATGAAATGTTTTTATTACCGTATATTCAACATCAAATGATGTAATTTTATCTTTGATTATGCTAATCGGTATTAATGCACAGAAACAATTGGCCTAAGAAACTATTGATGGTGCAGAAATTGTGACAAAAAAATTACAGATTGTTTATTGAGCCCAATAAACATGCAAATAAATAGACAGATTACTTACCAAACATAGCAGTTGTCCTTACAAGGAACAATGCTCCCTATTGGGTAGTGTTTTCTGTCCATGTCATAACAGCCACATACTGCAACACATTTCATGTCATCCTCATCAAAATATGGCTTGTCCTTTGGGCATTGTGGATAACAACCTGTTTGAAATAAAAAGTAGGAAAGAGTTATCATTTTCAAGATCAATAATAGCAAGTTAAAATCTATTAAAAAAACGTCTATTTTACCTTCCAACCCGCGTATCTCATATTGACATTCCCCCTTTGGGTTTCTACAGGTCTTCATACAGGGAGCACCACAAGGCCTATAATGCCACACACAGTCCTCGCCATTCAAAGAGTTGTAGTAATCACAAAAGAGAGCTGACAGCAAGTAAACACAATATATCAGAACAAATACAGTACAAAAAACTTAATTAAAAAAATATGATAATATTTTTGCCTTGATTTAAACAATTTCAGCCACATGAATTGATTTCAATAAACCCCCCCAAATAAACACAACAGTATGCCATGACCTCTCCCTTGGATGTAGTAGATAATATACCGGGTGTTGCTGATGCTTTATTTTGACTACTGTAATTCCTGATCAATGATATATGTCAGACTAAGGTTTGCTTTGCTACATGAACCTGGAGTACAATTAAGATTTTCAGTGTCCCCATAGGGGAAATTAACCCCTCTTTTTGTCCTGTGATCACTGACACAAAAATGTTAGAGTTGCCACCAGAACACAAGGTAAAGAGAAATCTTCCAATTGGAAAACCTGTTCTGGTGACATCTGTCTAAAACCCTTTCTTTTACTATTTCAAATCTGGAACAAGGCATGAAGAGAAATATCTAGCCGAAAGTTACACAGACAGTTTTATGATTTTTCTGTGATAGCCGTTGGTGGCAACGATCTGTGGGCTTACAGAGCCTCTGCAGCATTGCTATTGCAGAGCGCATGCTCCTGGTCCTATAACAAGTGAACCATGTCCACTCGTGGCTTACTATGGGGCCTGGTCCTCCCTGCTACCCATGTCACAGGCAGCAATGCCCGTGGGTGGATCTGATGCCTTGCAATCAGCCTGTGATGGCAGCCATGTCTCATGCCCTGCCCCGAGCTGCATATGGACAGCAATGTTTTAGGTAGTGAGTGTATAGCAATATCAGTCTTCCCTATAACTATGCCAGAAGCTTTAAGACACTTTGTAAGTCTTTACCCCAATCTCACAAAGCTAGAGTCTGGACCAATCATGTAACCTGGATTAAAGCTCTGCAAAAACACATTTGGAGGCAGTTTTAGTGAGCAGGGCCGGCCTTAGGGGTGTGCTCCCCTCTCCGCTGTCAGAATGCGAACTGATGTATACTACATCACTTTCGCATTCTTGTGTCATTTTCCAGCTTCAGATGCTGGAGAGAAGCTGATGAAGCAGATCTGTGCTTCATCAGCTTCTTCAGGGGGGTCCTTGGTGACATTAGGGGTCTTGGAGACCCCTGATGTCTCCATAAAGAGGACCTGTCACATATTTTGCTATCACATAAGGGGGTTTTCTAACCCCCCTATGTGATAGCAATAAAGTTTCCCCCAAAAAAATGTAAAGTTACAAATAAAAAAGAATTACATTTTTTTTTAAAGTCCCCCCCATACATACACGCATGCAAACAGGCGTCGGGTGCGCATACGTGTGAAAACGACGATTTCGCCCATTACGCCGCACATGTCACATATCGTCGCGAACGTCGGAATGAGAGCAATAATTGTAGGGCTATCAATCACTGATAACACTAAACTGATGAGCGGTAAAAGCTTTTAAAGCGTCACCTATGGTCAATTTTGGGCATGGTAATTTTTTGCGATTTTGTGGGTGCGCGCAATTTTAAAGCATGACATGTTTGGTGTCTATTTACCCGACGTGACCGCGCTTTTTATATTTTACCAAAAATATGGGTAATAAATGGGTGTGGTTACTGAGGGTGTGGCCACTGAGGGGTGTGGTCACTGAGGGGCGCTGTAAAGCTTTCTCGCACAGGGCGCCTAAAGGCCTAAGGCCGGCCCTGTTAGTGAGTTGTATATTGTATATATGAGTTGTATATATTTTTCAGCGTGCAATGACTTTCTTTTACTTTAACCACTTCAGTAACGGCATGTTAAACTTCAAATGAACTACTTAATTACCAGGCCATTTTTCAGTCTTCAATGCTGTAAAAGTTTAACTGAGAAATAACCCATCAACAACAGTGTACCTAAATAATTTGATATCATTTTTTGAGGCACAAAGATACAGCTTTGGTGGTATTTAACAATACGTCTATAGACGGCGGCCTGCAGAAGTGGTTAAAACAAGAACACATCAGCTGCAGCAGTCGTGTTCTTGGTATCAGTTTTAACATCAGACGATTGCTGTTAATGTACAAGTGATTCAGCGTCTGCACAGCCGCCGGATCGTTTGTATCATGTGGCGCCCTCCCCTCTGCCCTTCCGCGGCTGCTGTTGGCTTCACCGGGCACCGCTTTTCTGCGTGCAGCGCCCGGGAGCGGCTTGGCGGGTCTCCTTGCAATGATCGGAGAGAGATTCAGCAGCTTCCAGCCACTGGTCTCTCCTCCGATCACTGGACAAAAAAGTGATGTGTATTACATCACTTCCGGTGTCACTGTACACAGTCTCCGGCTCTTAGAGCCAGGAGATGAAGCTGGGGAAGCAGATCTCTGCTTCCTCAGCTTTTTTGGGGTCACTAGTTGGCATTAGGTGTCTGAAAGACCCCTGATGTCTCCATAAAGAGGACCTGTCACACCCAATCTGCTATTACATAGGGTGCTTGTTAGCCCCCTATGTGATAGCAATAAGGTAAGTGTAAAAAAAAAGTGTTTAAAAATTATAAAAATTAAAGTAACATATAAGAAAAATAAAAAAATGCAAAAAAAGAATTTAAGTCCCCCGCCCCCACGTGCACGCAGATACACACGCAAACACACGTCGGTGTGCCTATCAGCGAAAAGGACAATTGCGCTACACATGTTACATATCGCCGCGAACATCAGAGTAAGAGCAATAATTCTAGGGCCATCAATCACTGTTAGCACTAAACTGATGAGCGGTAAAAGCGTTTAAAATGTTCCCTATGGGAAATTTGGGGTATTTACTTTTTTTTGCGACTTCTCAGGCGAACGCAATTTTAAGGCTTGACATGTTTGGTATCTTTTATAATTGGTTTATTTGATCAAAAAAATGGGTATTATATTATGTTTCTGTGCACTAAATTTTAATTTTGTTTATTGTTTCCTAAAAATACTGGTTTGATAAACATTTGCGCAAAAAATTGCAACTAGCATTTGTTTTATTCTACAGGGCCTCTGCTTTCAGAACATATATCATTGTTTGGGGGTTTGAAGCTGTTTTCTAGCCAAAAATTCAGATGTTATCATGTGTTTTCAGTTCTGATCGATCCAAACTTTTTGTTTTTTGGGTTGATTCAAATTTTTAATTTTCGGTTCAGATCAATTCAGGTCCTTTAATTAAAAATGTACTTCATTTTTTTTGGGGGGTTGGTTATTTTAGTTCTGTACTGGTCATCTTAGTCCGTAATGGTCATTTTACTCTGTACTAGTCATCTTAGTCGTTACTTCTCCTCCTAGTCCATACTGGTCATTTTAGTTCGTACTAGCTCTCTTAGTCAATACTGGTCATCTTATTCCATACTTTTCATCTTAATGCATTTTGGTCATCTTAGTCCATACTGGTCATCTTTATCCACACTGGTCGTTAGAATTAGATATTTTGAAATTCAGATGACATTGAAAAAAAATTAATTGGATTTGTTCGAATTCGGATGCATTTGAATTTGGAAATTTGGATGCTTCTGAAATTTCAGAAGCATTCAAATTCGGAAATTCAAATGCATCTGAAATGCAGATAAAATCCAATTTGAATATTCGGATGCATCCGAATGTAAAGACATTCACATGAATATTAGTTTAGAAGGAAACAAAATGTATATGTCTACTCTGTAAAGAGAGTGTCCCTACTGGCTACTGAGACATTGGGGTCTATTCAATAAGCTGCCGTAGGTAGCCGAGTGATTGACCGGCCTAAAGCAAAGTGAGCCAAACGCTGTTCAGCTATTCACTTCAGGCTGGTACGGCTGATTTCAGCCGTATATCGGCTGAAATCAGCAGTACATCGGGTGGCTTCGAGTCGGCCGAACATGCACAGCATGTTTGGCTGACCCGAAGTGCAGAAGGAGTTCGACTCAGCCGATCCAACATTTGGATCGGCTAAGCCGAACCTGCGGCAGGCTACTCCCTGCTGTTCGGTCTATTCTTATAGATGCCGAACAGCAGTGAGTGAATAGTGTGGGACCGAGCAGAACATAAAAATAGTTAAAAAAAAGTATAAAAAAATAAATAGAAACGATTGTGCGGAGCTAGCAGTGACAGCTAGCTCGGGCCAACTGTTTTCTATTGGCCAGCGGTTCTGCTGCCGTCCAAAAAAAGAAAACAAAAAACTCTCCCGGGCGCTCCGGGAGTCTCCCGCTCCCGGCCGCCAAGGAGAGAAACACTGCTTTTTCGTGTTTTTCTTTATTCTGACACGGAGCCGTGTCAGAATAGAAAAAAATAAATAAAATTTTTGGCCATAGGAATGCATTGCTAGATTCCTATTGGCTATTTCAATTTGCAATAGCCAATAGAAAACTAGCTATTGTTCCCGCCCTCTGCTGCTGTCAATCAGTAGTTGGGGACCTGATGGAGAACTGCAGCAGAGGGCGGGTGCAATGCTAGTTTGCTATTGGCTATTCCAAAAGCAGTGTTTCTCTCCTTGGTGGCTGGGAACGGGAGACTCCCGGAGTGCCAGGAAGAGTTTGCTGCCTGGAGATCAGTGTCCCTGGTTAGCAGGTAACCAGGGATGGTGATCTCTCTGCAAGTGACCGGAGCCAGCCGTAAGATCACGGCTGGCTCCGCCTAGCTGTCAGAAGCAGGCTGTCGGCCGCCAATGGCCAGCCGCTCGGCCAGCTTCGGCTTTTTTAATCGTGGCTCAGCCGAGCCAAGGCATATGCGTTCAGCTCGACTGAGCCGCTCGGCCTCGTTCGGGAGCTGTACGGGCTATAGTGAATAGCCCGTACAGCAGCCCTTCGGTTCTACAGAACCGAAGGGGTCCTGGGGCCGAAGCTAGCCGAAGGATCGGCCAAAGCTAAGGCTAGATCCTTCGGCTGCTTCGTGAATAGACCCCATTGTTGGACAGTGAAATAGCAGTTGACATGGCTTAGTCATATTAGGTAAAGCCATGCCCAAGTTACAAATTGAAATTATGTCATACAGTATATAGCAACTCTACTTGATTTTACTAATATAAATGACCCCAAATTGCTTTAGTTATTATTGTTATTATTGACTAAATAAATTAAATGATGATTGAGAGCAATAAAACAATTCTTTTAAAATAATAAATAATCGAATGCACTGCAAAATGTAATCTCTGTGGTATAATCATCGTCCTGTTATTGTTTCTTCTTAGTGGCACAAGTGTTAGTCATTTAGGTTTCAATTTTTTAAGCATTTGGATATACATTGTTTCTTTATTTTGTTTGTCGGTTTTCAGGCAACTAAAAGACCATAAACTATGTTTTAGAAAATTCTTATTTTCCTTGGTCAGCACGCTTACTGAACCAATGTGGGAGCTATCAAAGGGGATCAGCTGTATACAATGATGTTTGAAAGCCTCCAAGATTCCTTGCTGATATCCAATGGATGTCAGCATTCTCTAGGATCACTTAGCATATGGGCCCAGTAACTTCTGGAACCAACCTTCTATACTTTATCATTAGTACTGCATATTTAGTATTTTACTGTGTGAAGTTGCTCTTAACTGTATAATGCAAGCTCACTGACAATGACGTATTACTCACGGCATATAGTTGGACTTCTCCAGGCAACGCAATAGTTGTATTCTGCACATGCTTGGGCATAGGCAGCAACAGCTGTGCAAAAACACTCACAGTCCCCTCCAGTGTTGCAAGCACATGTGTCCAAGACACAGGCTTGATAATACCTTGATGGATCAACCTAGAGATGACAGAATTAATAGGAATGCTGGTGACCTTCACATATACAGTCCATACCCAGTGCTTGTTTTATTTCATAATTATATATTGTTTAAATGTGCAGTAAAATAAAACATATATAACATATAGCTTTACCAAAGGTTTGCTAGAAAACAAGTGTTTTTCCAGAAATATAGGCTTATTTATTTTAAAAAAATTGTTGTAGCGCCCCCCTAACCCACAGAGGCCAGAGGTGAACCCCCAAAGGGCAGAGGGCTGACATTTTACTCTCAGGGGAAGATCCTTAGCCAGTAAAGGGAAGTGTGATCAAAGAAATTGGGCACCAGTCACTTTAGGTGCCTTCTTTAATGCTTTATTGTAGAACATCAACATGAGAGAGGGTAAATTGCTTAGGCCATCCATGGCAAAAATAGAAACAGACTCCAGACTCACCAATTCCCTTTCAGTCTTCCACAGTGCAGTATCAATAGGAGCACAGGCTGACACTAGGCAATAGCGCAACAGATGAACAGGGATAGGCATGAGATCTACTATAGGAGAGACACCAGACTTGCTCCTGAGGTCAAAATCAATAGCGAAACTCTGGAGGTTGGGGGGCTGGATCCAGACTTTGAATAAATGTTGTTGAAAGGGGAATGTCGACAGAAGGTGAATTATATGGTTAGTGGTTAAACTCTATTTACCTTTACTAATGCAGTTTTTCCCCATATTCTTAGTTTTATATAGCCAAGCTTGTGATAGGCTTACTTTAAAGTACAGGCAGTCCCTGAGTTACGAACATTCGAGTTACGTACAACTCGTACTTACGAACGGAGGTCCCAGGCTGTTCCACCAGTTGTAATGCTACCGTGCTCGCGCCGACGTTCATAGTACTGTTCCTCCTGTACACAACAGGAAGTTGTTAGACATGCAGATGAGGAGTGCCCGCCTCTTCTTCCGGGTCTGGTACTGTACATTACAGGAAATTGTACAAACAACTGGCCAAGTTCCATTTAACGTAGAAGTCCATGCAAATGTTATTTTATTATTTTTGGTTATCATGCTGTGGGATTAGAGCCACTGTGAGGACAGCAAAACAAATGTTACAGGGAGTTAATCCTTCCCTATGCTATCCAAAACTAAAAATATTTTTTTGGGCTGGAGTTACCCCCAAAAAATATACCTGTTTCAACTTACATAGAAATTCAACTTAATAATGAACCTACAGTCCCTATCTTGTTTGTAACCCAGGAACTGCCTGTAATGCAAACCTTAGCCTAGTTAGTGCTACCCATTTTATTGCTATGCCATACCTATTTATAGCAAACCCTGCCCCATGGGATGTTACACTATAAAGAAAAAAGGGCAGAACGTTATTGTAGGTATGTCATATTATCAGAATCGAGGGAATGTCTCAGCACTACAGTAACTTACATGTGGGTGGCAAGTAGAGAAGATTTCATTGTTTATGATGCTGCATTGTCTATGTGCCCATGCATTTCGGTATGGATTTAGTGAGCAAGCATCTCTATAGACTTTGGCATCGGCACAAGTTGGGGACAACTTCCAACTGTTTCCAAACTCTTCTGTATTTGCAACAACAGCATTGTTGCGGGAAGTGAAATCATTATTTCGATTTCCATCATAGGTTCCACATAACCCACAAATCTTCCCCTGTGGAATAAAGACAAACATTATGCAGTGGGGGGAAAAACTGTCTATCACAGATTTATTTAGGCAAACAATTGACTTTCAGTTTTCCGTAAACAAAGAGATAGGAATGCGCACAATTTCCAATTTTCCATGGATTGTTAACTCCATTTGCAGCATACATCCACAGTGATGCATAAATTGGAGAGACGTGTTCAATTTACAATGGAAGTTCCCCATATGATGCTAGGGATAATAGGAAAATTATTTCAAGAGCCATAAGGATGTGCTGATTTAAAAATAAAAAATACTTCAGTCCTCTCTAAGTCATACCTGGGTGGGCAACTGTTTGCACCTCACACATGATTCAGTTTTCAGTAGAAGAAATCTCTGTAGATAATCTGCACTTGAATGGCTGTTTTAGCATTGGGAAAAAATTTCCTGTTTAAGGATAGGTTCACCTAAAATGGTATATAGGTTGTATTGGTATTCCACTGGACTGAGCCTGTTACCGTATTTTTCGCTCCATAAGACGCACTTTTTCCCCCCAAAAGGAGGGGGAAAATGTGCCTGCGTCTTATGGAGTGAATCCCGACGCCCGAGACATGCAGTTTCGGGCGCCGGGCGAGTAGTAGGAGCCACTGCTCGTTTAATACGAGTGATCTAATGAGATCACTCGTATTAAAACCGAGCAGCTGCGACGATCGAGATCACCATAGAGCAGAAGAAGAACGGACGTTCTTCTTCTGCTCTGTGTGATCACTGAGACCGTGGCGCAGCGGTCACTAACTGCAGCTTCGGTCACAGCTTCTGTCATAGAAGCTACAGTCTGTCGAGTGCTCCATAAGGCCTCCCTGCGTCCTATGGTCCGGTGCGTCTTATGAACCGCAAAATACGGTAAATATCACCACTGGAATTCATGAGAGGTACATGAAAAAGGTAGGTGATTTAGATGTACACCATCTACCAGAAGGTAAGATACCAATCAGTCCAATCAGTGGCAGACCTAAGGAACAAAGATCCCTGGTGCAAGATTTTGTTCGGGCCCCCCTTCTCGCTACCAAAGGGGGGGCCGAAGCAGCTGATTTAATTGGCCCCTTAACCCCTTCGGTGGTCTCTGCACCAAAGGAGCATACACTCTAATGTAACCCCCCACAGTCACGCACTATTATTATTATACATATATGTATCTCTGACATATACCGCAGTGCTGTATAGAGAACACTGAGCCAGTCACATCAGTCTCTGTACTGAGGAGCTTACACTCTAATCTTACTGAGGGGCTTTCCCCCCATAACCCCCCCCCCCCCAGTCACACAGTTTTAATATACATTTAAATAGGTCCGACATATACCGTAGTGCGGTACAGAGAACACTGAACCAGTCACATCAGTCTCTGTACAGAGGAGCATACACTCTAATGCAGAATGGCACCAGCTGTAGGGGGACTACAAATCATAGCAATACATTATACCGCAATGCAGAACAGTATATGAATTGGATTCTGCAACGCACTGGACCCTGCACTTGGCAACAAACTGGACTATGCACTTGGCAATGCACTGGACCCTGCACTTAGCAACGCACTGGACCCTGCCCTTGGAAACACACTGGACTCTGCACTTGGCAATGCACTGGACTCTGCACTTGGCAATGCACTAGACCTTGCACTTAGCAAGGCACTGAACTCTGTACTTAGCAACACACTGGACCCTGCACTTAGCAATGCACTGGACTCTGCACTTAGCAACACACTGGACTCTGGACTGCAATGTTTCATTTTACACGGAGATAGAGAAATAGGTTATAATAGGGAACATTACAGTGTAAAGTTCCCTATTATAATCCATTTCACTAATTAAGTTAAATCACAGCACACTGTGTGCAGGCTCTAGACTTTCCCCTCCCCCCTCAAAGACTCAGTGACTTACCTTATACATTGCAGTGCTGTCAGAGCCTGACATTATCCTGGCCACACTGTCTGAAGTGGGCAGGGTATGTGACACAGTGCTCGCTGTGTGTCCTGTAAACTACCTGCATTGTATTTGGGGCGATATATGGGCCCCCTCAGCGCCCCCCTACGCTACGCTACTGGAGGTGAAAGGACAGCAGCAGATTGACACTCCAGGAGCCTCCGTGCTGCCCAGCCTGCCATATGCCACCTAAGCGCCGGCTCAGCCTGCAGGGCATTAGAGAGATCCTGACCCCCTGCCCAGTCCACCCCTGTCAGTGACCCCCCGGCCTTGGGGCAGCTGCAATGGCTGCACTGCAGGTAGGTCCACCCCTGATAGCAATTTGTGGTGTACAATTGAGCGCATTGTGATACTCTGCAGGATTGTGGACAATGTATATGTATCACCTAGGTTTCATACCTAAACATGGTTTTAGGTGAGTAACCTAGATGAGGGCTTTGAAGAGTTTTGGGTAGGATAAAGCCTGCTCCTGGTTCCACATTTTACCTGGTAGCCAGACTTGGTGATTGTCCTATCTAGACACAGGCCTTGATATATGTAAGAATGCAGATGCTAACGGCCCTTTCTCTCTCACGGTCTCTGCTGTGGGAGCCTGCTACTGTGTGAAAAGTCTGACTTCTGACAGAACACTAAAAAGTTACTAAAAAGTGTTGTTTGTTTTGGGAAACTATTAAGGAACATGCTGTTAGTGAGGAACTGACCTGAGTTTGGTTCAAGGCTCTGACAAGCAGAGGTTTTGTTTTGTTGTATGCTATGGACTTGCTGCTCCTGCATTGAAACTATGTTTCCTGTCAGCTCCATGGCAGCACACAAATGGGTTAACCCCTCGCTCCTCCTCTTAATCAGGATTGTATCTCATAAATTTGCACGAGTCGCCCAGCTAGCTGTTCTTTTTTTCCCCTCCATAATCCATAATCTACAGGTTGTTTTGGCAGGGTGCCTACCTTGCACCTGTCACTGGCTTATACTTTGGTCCATGTATTCATTCACAATGCTTTATTCATGTCAACCTTTGTGAGTATGATTCTCATCTTTTATTGCTTTTATCTAAAATAAATTTGTCTGCACCAGGAAAGGCGCCCCTTGTTTGTGTTTTTTTCCCCAGATTTTGCAGTCCCCCTGACTGGTTTGGGGCAGCATCCTGCAGATTTTCCATCAAAACACTCTTTTTCAAAAACAGTCCTTGCACTTATTTGAACAATCTTTTTATTACTGGTTGAGCGGTCCCATCTGGCGCTTTTCTGCTTACAATTGTACTTCCCCCAAAAATCTAATTAAGTTATTTTTTTATTTAAAAAAAAAACATTGAAATTGATTTAAAAAAAAGTCGTATTGATCCAAACCAAAAATAAAAATTTGAATTGATCCTAATTACAAAGAATGAACCAAATCAATTTTCAGTTTCTGAATCCTCCCAAAATAGTTTAAATTAATCCACAACTAAACACATTTTTTGAGCCTCCACATGTCTAGTGTTCTCTAGTCCTATCGCACTTCATGATTTAGGGTGATAACACTGTTTCTCCGTAGATACAGCCCAGTGAATATGAGTGTTGTGACCCTAGTAGTTGGGCATTGTCACAATGGCATCTGCAAGGGGTTTACATGTTCTACCTGTGCTTGCGTGGGTGTACTCTGGTTACCTCCCACACTCCAAAGACATGCTGGAAGGTTAATAATCTCATCAAAATTGACCCTGTACATATGCCTGTGAGATAGAGACTTATTTTTTTTTTTTTTATATATTAATTATACTCCACACCAGAGTTGAATTTCAGTCTGGGCTTACATTAGAAATGTCTACAATAGAGGCTGAAATCAGAGAGAGAAGGCAGATACTGAAAGTGAGTACCTCATAAATGTTCTCACTGTGGGGTTAGCGTAAAGCCCAATTGAACATTCAGTTAAAATTATCAGCTAAATACATTTCGTTAAATATATTTCAGGTGTAGCAAAACAAAAGATGTGCAAAATCTTGAAGTTGTTTTTTTTTAAACAGTAGCCACAGTCTAAGTAGAAAAGCCTCTTCCCTGTCAGCATGCTGCAGAGTGTGAACCTCCCAGTAGGGAGCATGTCAAACTATTGCTTCCCCCTTAGAGATAACAACTCTGATGCTACTACCAGGGAACAGACTTTTCTACATACCTTTTGTTTTGTTGTACCTGTTGTGTATTTAGCTGATTTAAGCTGAAGGTTATATTGGGCTTTAAAGTCAAAAAAGTAAACATGTGCTTGATCTGCACATTACAGAGCACTTAAATGGCAGCCAAACCAGCTGCTTAGCCTCAACATCCTGCACCACTGCTCTTTTCCACCTTCAGGATTAATGAGAGGAAGCTATGCGTATGCTCCAATCCATAATATCTGCTTTTTTTAATGTAGGCTTTCTCAAGATTAAAACTAAGCAAATGCACAATTAGACAACAGAGGTGTAATAAAAATGCACCAACATCCTTGAAATATTTGTACTTGATTAGTGAAGCTGACCAAACTAACTCCTACAGATTAATAATTATAATATTATAATATGATGCATGTCATTCTAGATTATACTTACTTTGTATTCACTAGTAACCTTAATAAAAATGCTGGACTTCTTGTCCCAGAAAAGAAGCAAACCTTTTTTGGTCTCAATGACTAAGTAGATGCCCATTAATCGCACTCGGTATGGAACTTCAGAGTCTGAACCTCTATGTGCCAAGTTAAGATGATCATCAACAAGGATAAGTTCATAGTCCTGCAAAAAGGGTTTACAATCTGCTAAGTAAAAAAGCCAATCCCAAAAAAACAGCTTGCAAGTAGTAACACATGCAGTTAATTTATTGGTTTGAATTTTAGCCCACCTCTAGGAATACTTTGATGGATTTAGAGCAGGTTGCACCCATGTTACCACAGGGAACATTTTGTGTGATGATCTTGAAGGTGCTGTTGCTGTTACTCAGCGAGCAGTGGTCCTTTAAAAGACAAAAATAAAATGTTTATTATAACAGCAAACACAGGTACTTAGTAAATGATAGAATTATGTTAGTTTCCTGCCTCAGGCAGCACTTTAGGACCAAGAAGCAGGGTAGCATTGGAGCCCTAATGGTCAGACTCACCAGTTAATGGTTGATATCAAATATTAGGGTATGTCCAAAAGTGACTTTGTACCTTACATACATAGGAAAACCTACAGATAAGTTATCTGTGTAACTTCTGAATAAGATAGCTATAATGGGCAGTATCAATATCATTTATTTGTCATTCCTCAAATGCTGCCCCTGGAAGTCTCTCTGGCAACCTGGTGGCCTTCTTGTCACATGCATGTCTCATAGCCTTCTCCATTGTAATGCGTGGCCTAATGTTACTCTCTCTAGTAATGTGTAACTTTCATGGTAATCTCTGTGGTAGCATGGATCTTATAGCACTTTCCCTGGTTGCATGGCAAGACAGTTTGGTGACATGTTCTTAGGTAGTGATGGGCCGAACAGGCCCGAGTTTGGTTCGCATTCGAACTTTAGAACACCCAAAAAGTTTGAATTCGAACTCGAACTCAATGCAAGGCAATGGGGGTAGAACTTTCAAAAACAATTGTTGCCTTTAAGAGGACTTATATGCACATAATTGGCCATAAAAGGTGTATTTTTCAATTGTAGCTTGAATATGTGCCCAAAAACAAAATATTGTGCATAGAAAAGTGCTTATTGCAATATGGAACATACAAAAAAAAAGTCCATACTAAAAACTCTGGCATTGAAGAGAAAGACCCCTTTAGTCTGACTGACAATTGGAGTATATTTCTAATGACAGAGTGCTCTTTGCCCTTATTTGGCATTAGTAAATAGCTATGGTTTTGGCTTTTTTTGGTGCAGGAACTTTCTGCCTCTTATGTTTAAAAATGATAAAAATAACAAATACATATTAATCTGATTTTTTACATTATGTGTTTTACCTGTGACAGGGTATATTGGCATTCACCATTAAAGATATATCGTTTGCCATCAAATGTGATGTAATGTCCATTACCATATATAAGACATGTTGCTGGACAAGTACGGGTTGAACATTCCCACTTTCGTTTATTGCAAGTACTGTAAAATAAAAATAACTCTTTACCAACACTACATCCCAAAGTGATGCATAGGCAACTGTTGATATGTAGGTATTCTTTGTTGGGAGTCGAGGGCAGGACATTTTCTATATAACACTCTGTTCTTTCCAGCATCATTACTGAGTGGTGTTCAGTGATATTCCTTTCTCTGATTTTAATGCTTTCTTTTATTGACCTGGCTATTGTTCCTGACCTTTGGACACCTTTGTGCTTACAAGCCGGACCTGACTTACAAGCCTGACCTGACTTGGACACCTTTGTGCTTACAAGCCTGACTTCTGATCTTTCGTTCTTGGCTTCCCATCCTATCCCTTTTGCTGTCTGCTTAGTCTTTACCTCGTTACCTGTAGATTACTGATCTTAGTTTGTTTCCTTGCCTTGAATTCACCTGCTGTATTGTGTCTCAATATCTGCAAGTTATCAATTTTTGTTTGCCTTCCATCTTCATCCCTATCTGTTACCCATTAACTACCTGTTACACTGACAGGAGAGCATGGGCTAAAGAAGCAAGAGAGGCCAGCCTCATCATGTCAGGTTTTAATCAGATACCCGACACTGATACATTTAAAAAAATTAGATAATGTGTCTAACTGGCAGTGAGGGGATGGAAAAGAGCCTATATATATTTTATTATATCTAGTCTACACTTTGCAGTCATGGTACATAAAATGTTATTTGCACATACCAAGTATTGCATCTCAGTTGAATTTGATCTCCAGATTTATATGCAGCTGTGTTGTGGAAACATGGGCACTGATCTTCAGGGATGCATCCCCCTTTCTCATTGGACACGAGCCCAGGTGGACAAACACACCCTGAGATACATCTAGTTGAATACTAAGAAATCACAAACATCTCTAAATACAGGAAAAACACTGATGTAAAGTACAACAGCAACAGAATATTTACTTAAAGCACATAGGTTAAGGTGTAAAAAAATATACAAATCAAAAACTTAGAACCTTAAAGGGTCAGCCTATCCAAAGTGATATTTTAGTCTTTGGTAGATGTAGAGCAGGGGTGCCCACAATTTTTGTGTTAAGATCTACTTTTCAAATGACGAGCTACATGAGATCTACTAATGAAAAAAAACCTCCCTCGCTCTCCTGGCTGTACCTCCTCGCTCTCTTGGCTGTCTCTCCTCGCTCTCCTGGCTGTCTCTCCTTGCTCATCCTCCTGGATGTCTCTCCTTGCTCATCCTCCTGGCTGTCTCTCCTTGCTCTCCTTGCAGTCTCTCCTTGCTCATCCTCCTGTCTGTCTCTCCTTGCTCCTCCTCCTGGCTGTCTCTCTTTGCTCATCCTCCTGGCTGCCTTTCCTTACTCATCCTCCTGGCTGTCTTTCCTCACTCATCCTCCTGGCTGTCTTTCCTCCCTCTCTCTCCTTGCTGTCATTCCTTGTTTTCTCTCCTGGCTGTCTCTCTTCATTCTCTTGGCTGTCTCTCCTTGCTCTCTTCCCTGGCTGTCTCTCCTCTCTCTTTCTTTGCTGTCTCTCCTCACGCTCTCTTTCCTGTTTGTCTCTCCCTGCTCTCTCTCCAGGCTCACCTTGCTGTATTTTGCAAACAGTGCAGTGCAACAGGCTTTGTAAACTAATATTCTTTGATGTAATACATAGCACTTCAACCACTAGTATCCACCAAAAAGGTGTCAGGGAGCTTGGCTCAGCAGACTAAGGTAATCATCCGTGCACAGCTAAATAAATATACCAAAATCGAATAAAGGGGCCACCATTCACACCCTTCGTGATCTACCAGCATCAGCTTTGAGAGCTACTGGTAGATCACAATCTACCTAATGGGCACCCCTGATGTAGAGGCTTAAAGCACCAGACAATTTTTTGTGGACTCTATTAGTGAGATCTTCACTCTTGAATTATTTGGTGACTCCTGTGACCAATATGAGCTAGGGCAACAATTTCTGTTAACATTTTTAAATTTCTTGTTATGGAGATGCAATAGAGGGTGCATGGACACGCAAAGGTGGGTGAGAATACCCAAAATGTCTAGTTACATTGACCGTTCTTTAGAAAAAAAACAAGAGCCACATGGACAAACATACAGAGTAGAATGCCAGGCATAAAATACTTACACAATGCATGTCCAGTGTTTGACAACTTTTAGCACATTCTGCTCCAGTATTTGAAGTTGAGCAATTAGCAAATACCATTGGAGGTACACATTCTAAAAAAACATAGAAAGGCTAAAGTTAATTATAAATTACTACATACAGATTTTAAGATTTTTTATCGAGAACCGTTTTTTCATTATTTAGGAAATGTTTCACTGATAGTATATGGATTGGTAATGAGGTCTGGGCTTCCCAAAACTAATTAGGAAACCCTGTCGTCCTCCCGGTTTGTTGAAATTCACCACTTCTAGACATAATAAACCAGACTACCGATAAAACATGTCTGTCTGTGTTAAAGAGTCTTCAAACAATCTTCAAATTCCACAAAAATGCCAGTACACCAGAGGATCTGCATATCAGGCCTGGGTTATAGCTGTTTATGGATTTATGGCCTTAACCTATTAATGAGGCATCTTTAAGCAATGGCAGCCAAAACACTTGACATGTACCAATCAAATACAGATACGATAGTCTCGACTTAGATGACCTGCAAATAACCATGCCAACAAAACTAGTTTCCAAACTTCACCCGGAATTCATAATTTTGGACCTGGGAGTGCTACATTAATAACACACACACACATCATAACACTTTAGTCGCCTACATACCAAGCACCCCTGGCTTTAGAGGTACAGAGGTACAAAGACACACATTACCCCTTCTGAGGAAGTCATATACTACATGTATGTAAAATATGGAATGTATAAAAAGCTTATTTCAGAATGCACAATATTCTATTGTTTACCAGATGGTAGCATGTGAGGGAATAAATATATGTCTGCATTTAGCAAACTGACATTATGGGAGGGCTGGGTGACAGACCATAGAGCGCTTCAGCTCTCATGTCTCACACCCTTGGGCCCTTCTGATTGAGTAAAATCTGGCTGAGATGTACCCTATCAGTGGGTGCAACCATGACAGGACAAACCTGCTACTCTGCCTTTGGTTTACAACTGTACACATTCACTTAAAAGTAAGTGGTTTCCTTCAGAACTCATGATTTCTGTGCAGAAGTAGCAAAGTCTACTTAGCAGTGCTAAGTGCAGTTGACATATACCACAGATAACATTGTGGGACTACTTGTGTGGACATCTTGTATGTATTCTAGTGGACTTTTTTAAGTGGACTTCCTGTTTTCTAGTAATATATGCAGACATTTTTTTAAAAATACAGGTGGTATACTCGGAATTTTGTTTTTGAGAAAATTAGGGTACCATACTGGTTGTGAAGATAATGAGGACTGCAGACCCCTCTAAACAGAGTAGGGTAAAGGGTAAAATCAGGTTGCACATGGTGCCATCTACATCTCTCTAAAATTTGCAAGTCTGGGATAAATCCTTTAGATTAAATTTGTTGTTTTCATTGACAACAATTTCCTCTACCTGCCAACCCCAGACCTCAGCTATGAACACAAGTAGAACACAGACTATAATGAACACAATCAAAGGGAACAAAAAAAAACATTCAGCTGCACCACTCTGCAGAACAAACTGTGCTTAGCCAGACTCTACACAACTGTCAATGATCAGTCATAAATAGTTTACTGGATGTCATTAGCAGGCTATCTGTAAAGGTGCCCATATATCTTACAACCATCGCAAGACTTTTGTCTTGCGATGGTTGCAAGTAGACATGTGCACTGCCAAAAAATTTGTTTAGTTTCGTTTCGTTTTAAATTCAAATTTGTGTTATTTTGTTTTTTGGGATTCGGGTGTGAAAGTCAATTCGGATTCGGAATTCGGATTCGGACGAAATTCGGTAGCGGTAGTTCGAACGTTCATTTCGTTTTCGGTTCTTATTCGTTTCTTATTCGTTTCGTTCCTTCGTTTGCAGCAAAGTGACATTTGAGGGGGAAAAAATGTTTTTCTCCTTCTCTAATGTCACTTTGCTCCAACGAACGAAACGAATAAGAAACAAATACGAACCGAAAATGAAACGAACGTTCGAACTACCGCTACCGAATTTCGGAAATGGAAATTCGGATTCGTTTTAATTCGTTATGTCTGTAATTCGGAATTTGGATACATCCGAATGTCCGAATTTCCGAAAATTCGTCCGAATTTCGATTCGGAACGAAACAAATTGCACATGTCTAGTTGCAAGCTAATTAAAAGCTTGTATGATCTGCCCATCTTGGAAAGGCAGATCTTACTAACGATCATCGAAAGCCCGCCCCGCTGAGTGGCGGGCTTCCGATGACCGTAATGCTGAACGGGCAGTGTGTGCGTGCACACACCAGCCCGTTCCGCAGTTGTCGAACGAGCACGCCACTAACCCGCCGACAATCGTACGATTCTCGGCGGGTTTTCTAGCATGCTCCTTCGACAAAAGACGTGTGACTGTACAGTAGAAACGGTTGCACGCCTTCCATACACCTTGCGATTATCGTACGATCGTGGGATTTCCCGCGATTATCCTAATATAATCGCAAGGTGTATGGGCACCTTTAGGCAAAGTCCTGATAAGCAGAGTCCTTCAAAGAAGCATGTTGTAATTGGGGGTTGTAACTTCCATTAGGTAGAGCTATTTAGTGCTTATTGCAAAAGATGTGTTAAAACAGTCCTTGTTGTTGTTTTTATAGTTGACCATGATAAAGCCATTTAGGAACACTCCACATTCCTGTCTGGAATTTCTCACTGCAGAACAAAAATCTACACACAATTCTGAAGTCCTGATTAAGTTATGTTAATAATGAGCATCCATCTAAATGTAAAAATGTAAAATAGGATTCTAATAATTTAGGACTAAACATTTTTAGGTGCAGGAGGCACATCCCATCTCCAAAGGAGAATCAGCATTAAATAACTATCATGTCTATTCATTTTCAAATGGAAATTTCATTCTATATATTACTATATGTGTTATTACACTGTAGCATGTGGTTATAAAAAATTTGAATGCATTTGGAATTCTGACCTGGAGGGAGGGTCTGCTGCAATATCATATACATGTTAGCCCTCCTACCCCACACACTGCAAATCCTTTGATTGGCTGTGTAATTCTTGTAAATGCCCTACTCAGGATTCAGAAAAGATGGTGACATCTGCAGCTTGACAGCTCTTTATTTTCTTACACTAAATTATACTCTGCCAGGACCAAAGACCAGGAAATCTCTGTTAAGTACTTTTACACATTTAATCACATTTTATTTTCCTGTTTCTATTGTTTGTATATACACATTAGACCTTGGAGATCATATTTTCTCATATAAGGGTCATACGCTAGATGAAAAGAAACAATTTTTTTCAGTTTAGTTCAATGTTTATAACTTCATACCAATATCTTGAATGGCCAGCTGTGTGACCCAAAGGGTTGGTTATAAAATACTGGCCTCTGAAGTAATATTTCTATGGCACTTAGGAGAAAGAAAAGAGTCCCCATAACTGGACATGTGAGCCGACAAAAAATGTGTTTAGTTTTGCTTCAGATTTTTAGTTGTTTCGTTTTTTGGGATTTGGGTCCGAAAGTCAATTCAGTTCGGGATTTGGATTTAGACAAATATACGGTTGCAGCAAAGTCACAGAAAAAAACGAAAAAATACTTTTTTTTTACAGTCCACAGAAGTGAAAATCCGAAATGAAATTCGTAAAAATGTTTGAAAATTCGTGCATTCGGATGCATCTGAAATTTTTGTTATTTCTGATTTCAGAAATTTGGATGCATCTTAATGTACAAATTTCCAAAAATTTGTATGAATTTCAATTCGGAATGAAATGAATCACACATGTCTACCGATAACTAAAATATCACTATCTTTAATATGAAATGTAAACATTTCCTTAGCAACACAACCACATGTAACAATAAAAAATACACAAGAAGTAAACAGCTCCAACAGCTATTAAATTACTCTGTTCAGCACAACAGAAAACGCACGTAAGCAGGTTGCATCTAACACAGACATCACTGCACCCAACCAGTTTTTTTACTTTGTCGGGGGGCAGAGTGGGTAGTGGGGCACCAATATGTGGATCACTCAGTCACTTCCTGATTGCGTGCCAGAAGTAAAAAGGGTGATCACATGATCACTGGTTACTTTTCGTGCTAAGGGAACCCTGCAGAATACCGATAGTCCTCTGTACTGGGCTGTGGGCAGCCATCTTGAGATTAAAAAAACACAAACGGGGTGCCTTTCCTAGTGCAGACAAATTTATTAAAGTTTAAAACTATTGATAAGAGTAATACTCACAAAAGTAAATAGAAATAGAGCCTTATATGACAGAGCATGGAATTCTAACATCAAACCAGGATAAACGCAGCAAAAAAGCAAATGACAGCTGCACAGACTTTCCTGTGTGCCAGCAAGGGATGCCTGTGATGACGTGTTTCCGGGGTCACGCCCCCTTCATCAGAATCTCTGAGATTTAGAATCTCAGAGATTCTGATGAAGGGG